TCGAAAATTCAAAACGGAATTCGAATACTAATGGCGAATTAATGAGAGGGGGATCTTGAGGGTGAATCAACATTTACTCCGAAGATTTAAGTGTTCCATCTCAAACGAATGAATTTCGGTTTCGTACGTCACACTTTATAACTACTGATGGATTGAACATATGTATAAAATAACTTATTTCATTCTTTTTTCACAGGAAACGTCAGGCTTCTGTGTCCATCCATTTCGAAAATTAAAATTTCATTACAAGATCGATACCAATAGAACCAAAGCTTCTTTCTTTAAACGGTAAGCTTGCTGTGAGCGATAATCAACTTTTCATGAACTGATATGGAAAACCGATCAGCAGTTTACTCCGCAGTGAATCTATTTCGGTTTTGCACGTCACACTTTTACTACTTCAAATCGACCATATTTGGTTCCCCATACAATCCTATAGGACGTGTTCATTTCTTGTGAGTGACTACTGAGTCACACAACGCGTGACGCTTTCATGAATTAATCGTTTGCTTTTTCTCTAGATGTGAGCTTGGGCCGCCTCTGCTGACATCAGTAAAGGACATTCTGCATTATAAATATGTCTTGATATAGGATTGATTTTAGTTTTTGATCACGTGATTGTGGAAACCATCAGTTTCTCGAACTAAACGATACTGAAAAATCTTAGTTATAATGAGGTTGAAATATATTCTATAAAACCTTAACGGTTTTAAGAAAGCCATTTAACGGTAGGGATATGAAGCATCCGATCAACGGAAAAGTACGCCAATATTATGTATGCAGTAACATTGAATTTAAGAAAGTTTCTATCGAGATTAAAACATTTCTCTTCGTGAGCGCGCAGCGTCATGACTTATCTTCTTACTCGAGACTCTGGCGCTTAAACAGAGAAAAAAACGGATTACGGCGTTTACAAAAATATGTATTGTAGAATTCGCCGCTAGACAAAAAAAACAAACAAACAAAAAAAGATTTGTGCTCGTATGCCCGTCTATCGCGTCCTATTTAGGTCGAAATTTTCAACAGTTAGTGGCCATATGATAAAATGTTTATTGACTGAGTTTTGTTGGGCCGGACGGGAAAATATTAGGCTCTCGGTCACGAAGCAAGGACCTCGCTACGCTCTTACCGCTCAATCAATAAGTACACAGTATTTGGGTTTGTATGTCACACTTTTATCCCTAATGATGTAATTGAACATGAAAAATGAGAAGTATTATTCTATTTTTCATGGGGAACGACAAGCTTAAGTGTTGATTCTTTTAAAGCTTTCATTTACATCACAAGATTGATCACAGTACAACCTAAGTTTCTTTCTTTAAACGGTAACCTATCTTTGCGTGACAATCGACTTATTGTCTTCGTGAACTTTTCATTTTCTAGCGGGTGTGATTTGCATGATCGAAGCCAGAATTGCTAAAAAAAACTGAGTGACTGTATTTCGGTTGAGCTCGTCACATTTTTCTGACTAATGACGGATTTTAGCGTCCAAAAATGAAACATCTTCCTCTGTTTATAACATGTTTAACTCTCGTAACTTAGCACCGAGTCACACAACGCGTGACGCTTTCATGAATTAATCGTTTACGTTTCCTCGAGATGTGAGCTTGGGCCGCCACTGCTGACATCGGTGAAAGACATTCTGCATTATAACTATGCCTTAATATAGGATTGAATTTAGTTTTTGATCACGTGATTGTGGAAACCATCAGTTTCTCAAACTAAACAATGCCGAACAATCTTAGTTATAATGAGGTTGAAATATATTGTTTGAAACCATAACGGTTTGAAGAAAGCGATTTTACGGTGAGGATATGAAGCATCCGTTCAACGCAAAAGTACACTTATACTCTGTATGCAATAACAGTGAATTTAAGAAAGTTTTAGCTTCTCTGAGAAAATTAAAACATCTCTCTTCATGAGTGCGTAGCGTCATGACTTATCTTCTTATGCGAGACTGGCGCTTAAACAGACAGAAAAAAGAAAGGGATTACGGCGTTTAGAAACATATCTACCGTAGAACCCGCCGCTAGTATCTAAAAACTTAAGCGAATAGTATCTCGACCATGAAACATTAGTGTACAAGTAGAAAACTGAGATTCAATTGGAGTCTGCCGCAATCTTGGAATCGATCGTTAAACCCTCCTAAAAAGTGTCAAGTTAATAGCTAGTGGAGATCGTAGCCACCGGAAAACCAAGTAATGAAGCACTACGGATTTCCCATATCAACGTGGGACAGTCCAGTTTTATGATCATCAATTTCTCAAATTGTACAATACTCAATAACCTTATTTTAGTTAATGAGGATAAATTATACGGTATAAAGCCACAGAGATTTGAAAAAGTTGCCGTAAAACCAATTTATTTCGCCGTGGTGACGATTCAATCGCGCCATCAACCGCTTTAACGACGGACTAACACTCGAAACGTGACGTATCGCAAACATAAAGATAAAAAAAGTAGGTACTGGGCTTTGCCATAAGTGCCTTACCTCTCTACAGTTACTAAATAACTAAAGCTGATAAAAACCGAGTGACTAGGAAAGATTTTCAATCGCACTTACCGAGATGTTGACAGTGTGGCTGATGCTTTCAAAATGAAACAACAAAAATAACGAATTACTTTTCCCAACTTTCCTAACTTCCGCTGTCACAGTGTTTTAGGTATCCAGATCACGTGTGTTTAGGTTATTCCCTTCCCCCCTCTGGGCTTATCGAAATAAAGGGAAAAGTTTTAAATTGCATACTTCTTGTGTGCCCGTATGCCCGTCCATCGCGTTCCATTTAGGTTGAAATTTTTAACAGTTAGTGGTTATATGATAAAATGCTTATTGACCGAATTTAGTGGGGCCAGCGGGGAAAATATTAAGCTCAGGGTCATGAAGAAAGGACCTCGCTGCGCCCCTACCACTCCATCAATAAGTACACAGTATTTTGGTTTCGTACGTCACACTTTTATCACTCATGATGTAATTGAACATGAAAAATGAAAAGTGTTATTCTTTTTTCAACAGGAAATGTCAGGTTTCAGTGTTTACCCCTTTGAAAGGTTTGATTTTCATCACAAGATCGACCACAGTACAACCTAAGTCTATTTTTTTTAACGCTAAGCTATCTTTGCGTGATAATGGACTCATTGTCTTCATTTTCTAGCAGGTGTGATTTGCATGATCAAAGCCAAAACTACTAAAAAAGCCAAGTGACTGTAATTCGGTTTTGCACGTCACACTTTTGTAACTAGCGATGGTTATAAAATAATTGAGATAGTTCGCACGCTCTCATAGGTCAACTGGTTAGTTTAGATGAGAGTAAAAAAAACACAGCTTGTTGGGACGTCACACTTTTAATATTTACCGGCGCAATTTGAAAACATTTCAAACTCACAGTTTTCCCAATACTCGCAAAGTAATTTCAAGTATAAGTGATAAATATCGGAATTGGAGAAAAATATGCTAAGTTTTGATCTGGGGTTTGGCTTCCGTCCCCCCTCCTCAGTGAGGAACAAGAAGGAAGAAAAAGAGGAACTAGCGCTTTGCCTGCCTTGATGATCATGAACTGTGCGGCCTCGTCGAGGGAGTTCAAGTAAAGACGACAAATATGCAACAAAATGCACAGTAAACATCGAAATGTAATGAAACAAGGAAACATTTTGGAAAAAAACATTTTGAAAAATCGTTCTACGCGCCCTACTTTCAAAGAAACAATAAAAAACTATATATCACTGAAAAACTTATAAAGTATGGAACAAAAGTTTTAAAAAGTTTTTTTTTCCCCAGCAAATTTAGTTTCAGTGTTTTCTCTAAATAAAGAGTAAATGAAATGAAAGTTTGAAAATTTGACCGGATCTTGTTGACAGTAATCTCAAATCAAAACTCACAATTTCAAGGCAGTAACAAAACAGTTTTTTGTTACTGCCTTTGCTACATTACAAAAATGAAGAAGCCGTTTGTTCGTTACGGCTGAACGAAGACAAAAATCATGCTGCTTAGGTCTCTAAGGCAGGGTAATAAATTATTTTTAAAAAATGACATTTAGTTGCCCTTTTGGTGTGCCCTGAGCAGACGCCGGTACCTCGTAAAAATGCCGAGTAATCAAGTCGATTTTGAAATTAACGCAGGGGTCACGTAATCGAAAGAAGTCGGTGACGCTGATTGCAAAATGAGAAACTTTATAAAGCGAGACTACATTTTTCAAAATAAACAAACAGTGACGTGGCTTGATTAAATTTCCTGAACTTAAGAGTCATCAGATATATTGACAACTGACATATTTAAACGTTATGTCAAATACATGCGTATTCAAAGTGGGGAAACTTTGCATCGATATTGGTTGAAAGCGAAGGTAGTTGATTAATTTATTTTACTTGACCAATACTGTTCCAATGCTGGACTCACGCTTAAAGACCAGCGGTTATGTGTTATAAGTAGGTCCAAAATTAACGACCAATTGCCTAAATTTAGATAGATTTTGCCTTTTGGATATTTCTCAGATATCATTGGCTAATTTTCAGCTGGTTAAGATGTCACTTTTTTTACCTTTGTATTTTCTACCCTTCTTTAACTTCATTCGCTTGCAGTTTATCACTTCCCTTTATCGGAATAGTAGTTGAGATCTCCGTGCTCATCTGATTAAGTTAACAAATTCTTCCAGCTTTTGCATGATTCAATTTTGATCTCTTCAGATTCACCGTAAAAGGAAATATCTCATTCAGAAAACAACTGGTTTCCTTGGTTTCCCATCCTGTTATCACTGAAAACTTTCCACTTGAATATTCTCTTCGCATATCTTTTTTTTTCCTCTAATTGCTGCTTCCTGTTCTCTGTTATCGCACTTAGCTTGTTTTGAAGCCAAAACAAAGGTAAAATACAAAATATACCACCGAGAGATATTGGCTACGTAAGTAATTAGAAAAAAGGCTATAAAACGGACAATTACAAAAATGTACGGTCATTCAAGGCTATTGTTCCTCAGTGAAGGCGAGGCCGATCTTTGACGAAGAAAATGGCTGTTGTACAGTTGTGTATTTTAGCGCTGTTTGTGGCTTCCACAAAAAGTAGCAGTATGTATAACATGTATTCCAACATGATCATACTCGATGACAAAGGAAATTACAATGTTTCCTACAACTACTGTGAGTTCGCAGACAGACTGGAGTTTATGGCGCAAGTAAGAACCACAGGTTGGGTTGGTTTCGGTGTTGCTGGAGTAGCACCAAATAATATCAGTAACTATGATGTGGCAATAGGGGGTGTGAAAGATGACGGAACAAGCTATCTGCAGGTAGGTCGGAATAACAAAATGTAAACTATCTAAAATCAAAAGAAAAAAACGCGGGCTCGACACATGTTACCATTTTTGTCTGATTTCTTTCATTTAAGTTAAGACGCTAAATTCTGATCGCGAAAATATGTAAAATAAAAGTGAAGAACTTAACTTACAAAGTATAGTGGAGATATGGACGCAAGTCTCTAAATTTAGAGAGAAATGGCATGTTTATTGTTTATGTAAAACATTTGGTATTAGTATATATATGTTATTTGCCGGCTGGGAGGTCCGTATGGTGAAAAACTGTTACCGAGACCGAGGTCATAGTTTTTCACCATACGGACCGACCCTTAGCCGGTAAATAACATATTTATTGTTTTTAAACTTGACGAAATTCTTTCCGAAAGAACCCGAATGATTTAGGGCTGTAAATACGGCAAGATCTTCCATAAACTGAACAATTTTTGGGTGAGTAAATGGTAGTTAAAATAGAGGTGATGCAAATTAAAGAGGGATGCCTCAGCGAAACATTTTCATTTCCGTAACGATAAAGGTGATTTAAAAGGCTTCCAAACAAACTTTGAAACATTATTTTTACAAGTATCTGTCACAATCTGACACCTGTCAATTAGAGAGCGCGCAAGAAAAAAAAAGCGTAGGAACATTTGAAAAACATCAGAACTAGTTTGGCAAGGTCTGTCACGACAATGTTTTCTTCAAAATCAGTCAATGATCTAACGGAAAGTATTATTAACTCTCATCGACCATTCATTCATGTACGAAGATTTACCTCTGTTCATTAAGTAAACGGCGAGGAAAGTAATTGTGAGTAAATTCAATTTTTTTACTTTGAAGTTGTGAGAGTTTGCTCGTTTGTTTGCTACAATGGCGTGTGTGACTCTGGTCTTTCCTTCACAAAAACTAAATTCGAATGGCACACTCCAACGAGACACAAGGGAATTTAATGCGGCCTTTTCTCAAAAAATGCCTTCAATTTCTGTTGTGCAATTTACGGTACAAATGTCTAAATTGAACGGAATTGGAAAGACTCACCGGGAGCGTATATTTGTTGTAGAACTTAAATTAAAACTTCGCTCGCTCTTTCACTACGAACAAATTGCTCGAGAAAATTCAGATATTAAATGAATGAAAATTCCATCGTTCAGTTTAACTGTAACCAAATACTTCACGTTTCAGCTCTCTGGGTACTTTTTGTGAACGATTAAAATTAATTGCAGACGGTTTTTAGGCTGCTTGTCAACCAAAGTAATGACACTATTGTTTATTCAAATTCATTCTGAAACCAATATTTTTCTGTCAACCAAAGTGATTTGATAGAGAGAAAAGAGAGGATTCATAAGTTATTTATCGGCTTGAGGTAGTGACCGATGTGTTTGCTTAAAATACTGCCCAGCGGGCAAAACGAGGTATATTTATGAAAAAATGACAACGAAATTTGGGATGTACTCGGCGACTCAAGAAAGCGTTACCATGGCCCGTGGGCAGAGATAGGAAAATACTGACCGGGTAAAGAACCAATCAGATTGCAGGATTCGTTACCGTGCCCTTTAAAAAAACAATAAGTATAGGAAATCGTATGAATGCGAGTGCATTTCGTGATTTATGGGCACGAGTGATGTTTTGAAAGTTCTCAAAATTGCACGAGCCGTAGGCGAGTGCAATTTGAGAGCTTTCAAAACATCACGAAATGCACGAGCAGGTTCATACGATTTTTTATTTATTATATTCTCGACAAAGCAAACCGGCTGTCAGCCATTTTTTTATAATTTGGTGTTCAAATTTGGCGCTTCCCCGGTGTTTCCATGGCAACTTCTCCGTATTGCACTCTATAACCTCTATTGCACTCTATAACCTATTTATGCATTCATCATTGACCAGTCAGAAACGCGATATTTTGTTGAGTATATAATAAACTCAAATATTAATATTGTTGCTTCACAAATTTCGTCTTTTATCATTGGCGTTTCATCCGCTTTTATTTTTTTAGCTTAAGCCTCGTTTTAGTCAAATTCAGTTGAAAAGAAATTAAAGCCGGGTATATACCGTTTCTGTTAAGGAAACATGATTTTTTTTGAGGATAGAAAAATGGAACATAAAATTCTAATTTTGCGTGTGTCGAATGACGTAACATATTCAAATTACCATGATTCAGTAAAATCGCTTCAGGCATTGAATATTCATCAAGACACATCTGCTGTAAATGCAGAAGTCAACTCCCTACCTGCGGAACACTATAACATCAACTCTTGAAATTCTTGGCAATGAGTCTACTTAAATATTACGCACCTTAAGTCTCTGGAATATCAGTTCCATGAAAAGGATCTGTCGCACACAGAAACCTTTAACTACTGGCTCAAGTGAAGTGTATTGGGGAAGGCCTGTAATTGTGAATATAAGGTAACTTTCCCAGTAACTAGTATCAGGCAAACAGGAAAACATCATGAACGTTAAGATCTGATGAGAGGGCGTACTCTGATCTTTTGGGCGGGTACTCAAGTACTCTTAGCCCATACCAAATCTTGTTAAGGAGCCATTTTAAGACCCTAGCTATTCTGGACTTAACTCCTCAACTTATTTTTATATCTTAGACTACCAATGAACCAGAAACTCCAGTCTATATCTATGATCTGTTTCTCTTATCTGCTCAAAAGGTACGTTACAGTTCATAAAAGAAAATTATAATACGTTTCTTTGAGAGCACGCGGTGTGATAGACTGACTTATCTTCTTGCACCAGACAGTGGCGTTTTAACAGAAAAATAAACGTAATTAATGACCAATGCAAATTAAAGCAACTGCAAAACAAGAGACTGTAATGCCAAGAATTTCCTGGGATATCAGCGAGGAAAGTTCACAATAAAAATTTTGACGTTTTTGATCTGGTTATCGATGGCGTGATTGTATTGATAAGGATAAAATACAGAGTATAAAGCCACAAACGTTTCGAAAAGTTGCCTTACACCGAATATATTTAACTGTGGTGGCGACTCGTTCACAACTTGAATTAACCAGCCACCGGGTAACCCAAACATATTGACTGGCTAATAAAGACCAATTTCTACTAGGCTTTTGTTACTTTCTTTGTTGTGTTTTTAATGTATGCAAATTAGGACGTGCTTAAAAAACAATAGAAACCATGTATAATACGCACCGTGATTTTGATGGTTATTTTTATAGAAAAAAAGTGCGTATTATACACGGGTAAATACGGTAACCCAAACATATTGACTGGAGCTTATTATTTGAGCGTGGTCTATCTGTGGAGGAGGTGGCCGAAAAAGTCCAGAGAAAGATCGGTAAAGAATGAATACACAATTGTCGGGTTAAGATCCTGAAGTTGTACTTGCGCCTTTACAAAAGACCCAGTGATATGGGTAGAGAGAGGACAAGAAGCCATGTTACAATGTTCTTAATACAATAAATGGTTTGAACCTGGGGGTAACATGTGATATTGCTATATACCTAGAATTTAACTCAACAAAACGAGCACTGTGATTGGCTGATTCTTGGTCACGTGCCCCTGATCAAATTCATCAGGACTCTCGGGAAAATAAAACTAACTGTTTCCCTTCGGGACCATAAATTAAGTGTAGAGTGTTGTCTGATCGTCCGGGTGAGTGTAATCCTGAGAAGGACTGTTATCAGTAGTCACCATTACCGACAACAGCTCTTCTCAGGTCTCCACTCACCTGGACGATCGGACTACTCTATTACATAATGTTCTTAGTAATAATCAACGAACGTAGTCTATTTCATCTCTTTTAAAATGTAATGAGCATCAAATAGTCGAGGAGGACTTATCACATTTTTGTTCCAATTCCGGTCTGATTTTTAAGTTGGAGATTGCAATTAAATTTTCATATGAAAGGTCTAAAGGAAGATAACTAAACAAAAGCAAAAAACAGAATAATCGCTCAAAGGTAAACTCTAAATTTGTAATTTTCCCTGAGAAGACGTTTTTTTTTCGGCTTACGTATAATCAGCCACACCGGTCCTACTCTTGGGTACCTCCCATCATCGTGGTGTATTCAATGAAACTTGATTTAAAGTTGTCTCTGTAAATAGTTTCATGTAGAAGCTGAAAAATGAACAGCAAACTTAGTAGCGTTATAATTTTAAACGGATCAGTTTAATTGTTAAAATTCACTCAGCAGCAAGGCCTATCTCATTTACGTGCAATCTCTTCCTCTGGCGTAGCTGGTCATGTCCACGCTGTGTAGTCCTTCGCTCCAAAGCTGAAATCAAGGTATTTTACGTCATATCTAGATTTCGATGAGGAAAATTTTGTTTTGCTGACATAGTACGGTATCATCATTCTCACGTAAATACTTTGGATAATGGAACGAGAATTCGATACTAGATTCTAAATCCCACACCTTTGTCGTCTCAATTTTGTGATTAAGGTGATTTCTCAGTTTTGCACTGCGCATCTCATACTGCGTGTAAAAATTACCTAGTCAGGAGAATGAGTACCCTTGCATTCTGAGAACACGGTATTGTTATCAATCCATGGACCGGGTAGAGAGGAACGATACTCTTTAGCTCTCGAACGAGCAGAGTGACCTAAATTCTTTTGCATGATTTTGGTGTACAATTTGTCCCCTTTAAAATTGGGAAATTTAAAAAAACTCTTCGAAGGGAAAAAAAAGATAAAGTTAAAAGCCTGCCCGTTACTCCAGGATGTAAATATACGACCTTGAAGGGAAAGACTCGTGGAATGTTTTGAGTCGATGTCATTTCAATTTGCGTGATTTTCCCACAAATAATATATCCACTTGTTCCCTATGCTCGACACTTCTGCCCATCAAGTTTTTCCAAGAGTTGCTCGAAAAGCCCTCCCAGCCCCAGCACTGTTAACCGATGAATTGATGCGCTTGATTAGTGCCAGTACAGGCATAAATGGGGTAAGTTTGGCCCACTTAATCTCCTAGAAAAGCACGGTAACAGATCTTTTTTTATTGTATTTTCGAAACAGAAATTGACGAGGAACACTAAATGAAAGTTTAAAAGAAAATTGTT